CTTTCTTCTTTCCCACGCCCCCCTACACCCCCCCCGTGCTCAGCCCCCCCCTTCAACATCTGCCTCCACATCCCCGTGCCCCCCCGCGTGATCGCCACCCTCCTCCTGCTCCTCCCCCCACTCTTTCTTCACTTCCTCCGCTGCCGTTTTGGCTAGAAAATAACCTGCGCATTGGGGGCCCCGCGCCTCCGCGCCTGCAAAGATGCCGCTCGTCCGCGGCAGTTTCCCGGCGTCTCCGCCTGGCCAGCCGCGAGGGGCCCGCCGCCCCCGTGGCGCGCCGTTCGCGCGGCATGGCCCCTCCCCCTCGCGGCGGCGACGGCGGCGCCGGCGCTGGCGCAGCGCGCGAGTCGGCCCAGGGGGCGGGCTGGCGACGCAGCCGCTGCCGCAACAAGAACCTGGGCTGGCGCGCGAAGCGTCGGCAGGCGGGGCACGCGGGCTGTCGGCCGACCAATCGCGGCGCGCCTGCTCCTCGCGATGGCCCCCCTTCACCGCGCGGGGCTTGGGCGGACGGAGCTGGCGACCCCCGCCCGCGGCACATCGCGCAGAAGCCGAAGCGCGAAGCGGCGGGGACTCTGGGGTGCAGCCGCCCAAGCTCCCGCCCGAGGCCCACGACCGCTTCTCGGCGCTCAGCGATGCCGACTTCGAGCTGCTGTCCGCCACGCTGGCCGCCAGCGACAAGCACGGCCTGCGGCAGTCGCACTCACTGCTCAGCAGCAGCCGGGCACGCTCTCCGAGATCAAGACGGCCAAGTCTGCGCAGGCGGCGGCGGACGAGGCCTGCAAGCGGCACCAGCAAGCCAAGTTGGACCACGAGAAGAAGCAGAAGCTGGCTGCCGAGGAGCTCCAGGCTTCTTACCTGCAGAAAGAGAAAGGTCGCGCAGCTGCAGATCGAGCTGGGCGCCGCCGACTCCAGGGCGAAGACCGCGCTCGCCAACGACGCTGTGCCCAAGCCCGCTGATGCGCCCATGCGCGACGTTGGCGAACTCAGCGGCCGCGCGAAGAAGCTCGACGGCGTCGCGGGGGCTTCCCTGGATAACCTCAAACCTCCAGCTCAGCGAGGACACGCCGGCCCCCCTCCGCGCGCTGCTGGCAGGGGAATTGGCAGCTCAGTCTCCTGAACCAGTCGCAGCGGGCGGTGGCGCCGCGGGCGCCCAAGCGGGCGGCCGCGGGGTAGCCGCTGGGGCAGCTGCTGCTGGCGTCGCCGAGGGCGAAGGCATCGACGTGGACCTCGAAGGGGGCCCGCTGGAGTTTGCCACGGGCGACGCAAGGCCGCCGCCCCCGACGTCGTCGGATTCGACCCCGAGAAGGGGAAGTTCGTCGAAGAGTTCCAGGCCAACCTCAAGCAGAAGAACGAGGCCGCGGTCGAGGCCAAGAAGCCGCGGCTGGGGTAGCCGCGTCCAGTCCTCGAGGGTCGCGTCGCTGAATATGAAATCATACTCGAACGTCGACAGGTGCCTCATCGAGGAGCTGGTTGGCTGCGACGTCATCCTGCTTCAAGAAGCCCGGCTGGAACAAGGACGGACGTCTTCGTCGTAGGGGACTTCGTGCTTGCGGGGCAGCCGCGGCGCCGTCGCTGGCTGGGGGGCTGGCGACTGGGGGGCTGCTCACCTGCGTGCGCAGCGAGCATGGACAGGCCACCATGCTGGGGTCGCGCCCGCCCGTCCTGCGCGACGGGCGCGTGCATGTGCTACATCACTCAAGACCACCGCGCGCAGCCCTTCCTGATCGATCTTCCCGCGCCGCCACCTTGCGCCAGCCATCCCTCAAGGCGTCAGCGGCGGATCGCGCGCCACGTAGCTGCCTCGGCAAGCACCAGTCGAACGAAGGTCGCCCCTGTCGCTTTCCCGTCTTCCCCAGCGATGCACGGACCAGCTGAAATTAATTGATCTCTCCAGAAGCCTAGAGCGCAGCTGGCGCGTGTACCTCACCCACGCAGATACCATCGCCAACATTCCAGCCGCGAGCATGACTTGTTCAGGCATTCTCGCGCCGTCCAAGAAATCGCCCACGTGGTGCACCATCTCGGGCTCGACGACAGTAGCCTGGACCAGCGGCGCCACGGCCCCACTGCCTGGATCACGTGGCACAGGCCGAAACGCATCACCCAGGCAAAAGGGCGCTATCAGATGCACGCACATCCATGTCAAACCAGTCGAGGCCCTGACGCCGCACGTCCGCGCGGTCGAGAGTTCGTGCATAACTCGGCGACTGCCGTGGGTTGCTGCGCCAAACGCGTCGCCAGCTGCCCTTGCCGGCCCGCCCACTCGGCCCACTGCCCCCGCGCGCGCAATGCCGCGCGCAACGTCGCCGATTCGAAATTACTCAATCTGAACACCACCGCGGACGAGACGTCGGCGAACATCTCGGCCAGCGCCTCCGGCAGCCCCTTCCCGAGACCGTTTTCCGGGCGCCATTCTCGCGACGCTCGAACTGCCTGGTCGCCAGCTGGACGCGCCCCTAACGCTCTGCCATCTCCGTTGCCACCGCGGCACAACGTCTCGGCCGACCGCGGCGCGCGGCGGTAGGCTCACGCCCTTTCCCCGCCGCGGCCCCCGCGCTTGCGGCGGGCGCCGCCGCGACGCTAAAGCGCCCCTCCGCGCCAATGCCACGCGCGGGCGCCAGCCGCGGCGTCACCCGCGCCACGACCCGAGCCACGGCCTTGACAGTGGGCACTCCGCACTGCTCCGCCTCATCCGCCGAGCAAAACAGATGTGCTAAATCGCCAGCCGACGCCAGCCCCTCTTTCTCCACAAGCGCAGAAAGGGACGCGCGCTCGGAAGAATCGACCCTCCAAACCCACACTGCCCGGCCATCCACAGCACACAAGCAAGAAACAAACCAAGAGCAACCGCTGTCGCCAACGCGCTTTGCTCGCACGAGCCACACGCGCCCTTCTGAGGCGCGCTGTCCCTGCGAGCGCGCGCGGGCGTCCCCTTCTGTCATGATGATGGCTCCCTGACCCGAGCCTCCCCGAGCCGAAAGTAAACGCAAGACGGCCCTGAAGCGCCTAAGAAGGAGGGCCCAACGCGACTGTCAAGGGAGGGCCCAAGACTGCCTTTCAAGGCCAAGAGGCCCCTTACATGCCCCAAGACGGGCTCCAATAGGATCTCCCCAGGAGTCCAGCACCCTCGGTGTCTCTTGCGTCGTTCTATGATTTTGCGGTTCTCGCCGTTTCGGGCACCCGACGCTCCAAGACGGGCTCATGGGCCCCCAAGATCGCCCCTAGACGGCCCAACAGGACATCAAGAGGCCCGACAGACGGCCTAGGAGGGATCCAACCCAAGAGGCCCCCAAGACGACCCCAAGAGACCTCCAACAGCCCTACAGCGCCCAAAGAGGGACCCACGACGGCCCAGGGAGGGCCCAAAACAGCCACTGGAGGCCACGAGGCCCCTTAGACGCCCCAGGAGGGCTCCAAGAGCTCCTGCAGGAAACCCAAACACTTGATTGTCCTACGGCTTTCAATAATGTTAGCAGTCTCGTCCTTTTGGCTTTCCCGACGCTCCAAGACGGGCCCATAAGCCCCCAAGATCGTCCCAAGACGGCTCAAGAGGGACCCAAGACGGCCGAAGAAACCCCCAAGACAATCTCAAGACGGCCCCAGGGACCTCCAAGACCGCCCTGAAGTGGGCCCATTACACCCCACAGAGGCTCCCAAAGGCCCCTGAAAAGTACCCAAGAAGTCCCAGGAGAACCCCAAGAGGCCCCAGGAGCCCCCAGAAGCCACCCCGGAAGCACACAGGAGGCCTCAAGAGGACCTCATGAGGATCCCATTCCTTTTCCTTATAAACAACTTCTCCCTGCCGCACCCCGCGGCCAATCGGAAGGACGACCCGGGCGTTTCGCCGGAGACTTCCTTACCATTGTTTATCCTAAAGCTTAATAAATAAGAACCAGGGCGGGCCGGCCGCTTCCAGAGGGCGGGCCGCTTCCAGAATGTGCCTGTCGCCCTGCGCCGCGCACACTTGGGTTGCACGTGTTGAGGACGGTTCCTTTTCAAAATGTGCTTCTCGCCTTAGCGCCGCGGACAGTCGTCTTAAACAGTGAAAGGAGTCTCACAGGTTCCCATGGTTACCGTACCAGAAATGGCGTTATGGAGCGATTCAGGGTTGTCAAGGCGCAACAGTCACTTGTATTCGCGGTGTTGATGTCCCAAGACTGGTGTCCTGGCGCGACTTACAGTCGTCAGGGCGCAACAATCAGGTTGATTCGTGGCGTTGGAGTCCCGAGGATGGTGTTTGGCACGCTCCAAGACTTTAAGATGGTTGTCTCCCAACGGGGCACGTCCCTCAGTGGAAATGAACCCTTGTAGGGGCCTGCGTAGAGGGAGCTTGGAGGGGAGGATTTATTCCAACGACGTTGATGAGGCTTGGGCTTGCACTGGTCTTCTTCCTCCTTCTCCTCCCTCTCCTCCAAGTGTTCCACCAAGGAGTTCCACCAATGCTGGGGGAACACATCGTCCAATGGCTGGCCAGACTTCGGCCCAACGTTTGGCCGCATGTGCATTCCATAAAGGCAGGAGGCGGCGAAGATCCGCCGCAGGCTCCTCACATAATCAAAAGCAACGCAATGAACACAAAAGAGACGAGACAGAAAACACTGGACAAAACAAACAACCTGCCTTGACGGTGTGCGCAATCCTCAAAAACGAAATCTGTCTGGCCGGGGACAGTGTGAGTGACGCCTCCACGTGGCGCCGAAGAGTGCGCCATGCATGCTTGCACAACTGGTCTGCCAGTATGCACGCCCATGGGCTGCCACAGCCTACGTCAGGTTCGTGTCGAGCCGACTTCGGCTTTGGTTTCTGACACTGCGGGGAGCGTTCAACCTTGAACAATCGGCCGTTTCCGAAACGTCCAGATCGTTCCACATCTAACGATTCTGGGTCGCCCGCGGCGTTCAACGTTAAACACTGCTGGCGGGGTCGCCGCCCGTCGACACGACACGAACCTACCGTACGGCACGAGCGAGCGAGCGAGCGGACGGTGTGCACGCGCGGTCCTTCTTCCGGCTGGCTGGCCGCTTCATCTCCTGGCGGGCTCTCTCCCCGCGCGCGCGCTCGGAGGGGCGAGCTCCCGCTGCCCCTGCCCTGCCCCCCTCTTCCGCCCCTCCCGCGAGGCAGGGCTTTGTCCATCCCCGCCGCCCAGGGAGCGACCTCAGGAGACCTCGGCAGGCGGAGGGCGTGGACACACTCAGGCCCCGGGAGGCCGAATGTGCCCACATCCATCGCCTGCCGAACACACCGAAGGCCGATCCCCCAGGCGGTGGCCATGGAGACATCCCGGCCTCGAAACCTCGAGGCCCGATCCTGGCGCCTGGCTCTTCGCCCCGCGTCGACCACACAGAGCTCCGACGAGCTGGAGCCCATTGTGTGCTTGTTCGCGACAACGCCCGTGACCAGCCCCCGCCACCCCCCTCCCCATCCGCCCTGGTCACGCCACGGTTCGCGCCAGCGCCGTCTTGGAATTGGCCAGACTTCAGTTTTGAGCATTTCCAGACGGCACCGGCGCGAATCATGACGTTACCAGCCCCCGCGCCCCCCCCCCTTCCTCCACGAAACATTTATACACCCAGACATACCGGCGCCGTGAAAGAAACACGAGGGAAGGTTTTTGGCCATTGCCGACCCCTGGAGCACCCTCGGCGGGAGCCAAAACAGTGAAAAACGATCCAGGATGGAAAAACGGGCCCTGGGGAACAGACAGGTCGGGACTTCCGCGGATCCCGCATCAACAAAAATCAAGACGCAGGATGTCTGGGTCAGTACCGTGCGCTTCTGTGGGATGCGCACGTCCGAACCGAGCATGCGGTGCAGACACCCCCTGGCACATCGTAGACGCCTTGCAGTCAAAACGGGACACAAGGAAGCGCGGTAAGGACGCAAGAACCTCGGACGCCAAAATTGTGAACTTTTTTCGGCGGCGCCAGACGGGCCGAAGAGGCCGGGAAACGGCCGAAGATGATAAGCTTGGGAGGACTTGAGTTTGGAGGGCCGAACACATTCGGGATAGGGGGTCTTGTGATGCAGGATGTCTCGGGCGACGACACATGTTCAGGGATAACCCGAATTAAACCTTGGCCACGAGCTCATGTGTTAGTAGGCATGGGGGGGTGCGTGATGCTTGATGACAAGAGGCAAAGGCGAATGCGGTTTGATTGTGTACTGCATCGTCGCCCAAGCGGCATGGTCAGAGCGCGCCCACCGCCGAGCTCATACTGCGAGATATCCGAGCGCGCGGACATGCGCGCACCGCCCCCGCGCGGCCGACGTAGACACAGTTGGAGGAAGAAGCAGAGGCCACAGACAGAAACTGTCGGAGGTCCGCTCCCGTATCTTGGACCACCGCTGGATTCCCTCCCTGGCGCGAGGAGGACCCGCAGATCAAGAGGTCGGCGCCGAGACTACGAACGCGTGGCGAGGACGCGGGGGGGGGGGCTGAGGGAGGAAGGGAGAGAGGATGAGAGGGATGGGGGAGGATGGGCGGGAGGGACAGAAGGGATGGGGGAGGGAGGATGAGAGGGATGAGGGAGAAAGGAGGGAGGAGGGATGATGAAATGAGCATTGGAATGCGCTTCGTCGAGAAAGCCAGTCCGGGGCCGGTGCTCTCGACACAGACAGAAGCTCCACCTCACTGGCCGAGACAGCGGGAGGGAAATGCACCACTGGAGAACTGGAATGCCTCCTCTCCCCGTCAGGGACAGAGACGGGTGATGATGGAAGGAGGGATGGGGGGGGCGGACGCGGGAGGGACGATGGACAGGAGGAAGAGAGGGAGGGAGGAGGCGGAAGACTACAGGGACACAGCGTGACACGAGAGGATGACGAGGAGGAGGATGTGCTGTGGTGTGAGATGCGTTTGGGGAGCATTGCCTCCTGCACCTCGGGAGGGAGGAAACAGAGAGGAAAATCGCGCGGCTTCGGGAAGGCTTCGACTTCGCGTACGGCGACTCGAGCGCTTCTGCCTCTGCTGCCTGGCTGGCGACCTGGGCAATCGAAATCGGTGGCTTTCAGACTAGAATGACTCTGCAGTGTGGCCTTGGGTTGTCTTACAACCTGGAGGTGCCCGTAGGCTCCTCTCGAAAAGTTAGAAACAAAACGCTTGGGGGCAACTCGTGTGGCGGCCCTTTCAGGTGCATTCTGAACACTTGCCACACTGGGAACACGCAACAACGAGACTCGCATCATCGTTTCGATCGGGGCCCTTGGACTGCAGCGCTAGCTTGGCCAAGGCCGCGGCATTACCAGCGCACCGCTTCTTGGCACGACCCTGTTTGGTTTTGTGACTCAGGCATCGCGAATGGCACAGGCAGCAGAGACAACGGGATTTCTGCCAGCTCCAGACATGCCCGACTCGGGCACGCAGCAAACGAGAGGGGCGGGGCGGGGGGGGGGCGCGGCAGCCCCAGGGCCCGGGGCCCGAGCTTGACCCTTTCAAGTCAACTCCACCTAGCCACACTTCCGCGATTGACATTGCACCTACTGCTGGGATGGTTTCATTGGCGGGGGCCTCGAGCCCTGTCCCACCAACCCTCGGGGCAACAGCAGGCCACATGGCCAGAGCCTTCGGCACATACCGAAGGAACCGCTTCAGCTCCTTGTCGAGCTGTTGCTGGGTCTCTCGCTCAGCTTCCGAGGCTGGGGCAGGCGGGAAGCTGCATGCTTGGCAGTTCTTCGGTCGGCCGCATCGTTGCCTGAGGCGTGGCCCCACTGCCCAAAGAAACGCCCGAGAGATTCTAAGTATTGCTGGCTTTTGACCTTGGCAAGCTCAAACCCACCGTCACGGCGGGCTTCACCGAATTTGGCCATCGAGCCTAGCCCGTCAAACTATGTGCTTCACTTGCCAGCGTGTCCGAGTTGTGCCAGGCGACCACACTTTGAAATAGATTGATGAATCCGAGTCGCTCCTCGAAACTGGCTGCTGTCTAGGTACGATGGACATTATGCAAATGGCGACGTGGGGGGAAGAGCTCTGCCTACTGGGCCACAGGAGGTACGCAGCTACCTCGCCACTAAGATCTCACTTTACAATGCCCAAGCATGAAGCTACTGGTGGCCGTCTTTGGCCACACTGTCGTCAACAGAAACCTCGACAACAAAAACTTCGGCTGGCCAAAAGCCATCATGGGACCAGCACACCGTGTCGGCCATGGCACGAAAAGGCGGCGAGTCGTGAAACCAGTGCACATGACAAAGGCTTGAGACTCTGTCAGGGATTCAACATCACCTTCCTTCAGATACCCCCCGAAGTACAAGAATCTGAGGGCCCTCCTGAAGCCTATGGCCGATGTGGTAATGGGGGGCTCCACATATACATGTCGTGTCAGTGTCGTATCCAGCATCCTTCAGCCTGCACTTTGTCAAGATAGACTGGGTCAGGTACGACACTAGGAGGATACGATCCTGCTTCGTCAATGTTCCGTCTGTTAGCGCTGCTCTAGCATGAGCAAGGTCAACATGTTCAACTCCTATCTTGGTGGCGGCCTGGTCGGCCAACTGCCCCTGCCACGCTGCTGCCAGCAATCGGCGAAGAACAGCAGGCGAGGTTATTGTGAGCGGGTAGGTCTCACCATCCTTGCTACTGATCATCATCGGGCTGGCCCACGTCCAGCCGACTCTTGGTAAACTTCAATACGCAGCTCCAAGAGGGCCCCTGATGTGACCCCAGCCTAGAGGAGGCTTGTCGAGGATACCAGCGGCAAAGTTGTCGGAGTTCTGGGAGCCAGAAGCCCCCCAGATCGCCCCAGAGGTCTCCAAGTTGGCTCCCATCACGGCCCCAAGAGGGTCCCAAGACGGCCCAAGGGGCCCCGGAGACGGCCAAGATAGCCTCCAAGACGGCCCTGAAGCGCCTCCAGAGTGCTCCCAGACGGCACAGCGAGGCGCCCAAGACGACTTCCGACGGCGTCCGACGGGCCAGGAACGCCGTAAGACAGCCAAAAGGCTTCCAAGAAGCCCCTGTGAGGCTCAAAGACCCCCTCAAGACGCCTCCTTCTACGACGGCCCCAAGAGGGCCCCAAGGCGGCCCCATAGCAAGCGAACCCGAGCACCCTCGGGAGCGCCCCGGATCGGCGGCACTGGCCGGAGGCCAACACAGTAACCCGAGCACCCTCGGGAGCGCCCCGGATCGGCGGCACTGGCCGGAGGCCAACACAGTAACCTGCTTGCTGGAGACCAGTGTTCCAAATCTTCTTGGTGTCTGCTCCTGCGGATCGCAAAGCTCTCAATCGACAAAGACGCTTCTGCAACTTCACTGCACGGCCGCTGAGAGTCTTTCTGCCAGAGCAGGGAGGAGGAGGGAACGAGCTAGGAGGAGGGGGGAAGGGAGGGAGAAGGAGAGAGCGAGGAGGAGGGAGGGAGGGCGTGAGGGAGGGAGGACGGAAAAAGAGAGAGAGAGAGAGAGAAAAAAAAAAAAAAAAAAAAAAAAAAAAAAACGCAACCAAACACACATAGGGAAAGAGAGACAGAGAGAGAGAGAAGAGACAAAAAAACTCGGCTGCGGCGGCCTGCGGAAACTCCACCAGGTTCGGCGGCGGCTCGTCCTCGGTCGCGGTGGTTGCAGCACCAGCGGCGGCGCCTTGCGCGCCGAAGACCTGCCAGCAAAGGAGCGGGGGCAGGACCAGACAGCTTCGGATCGGGAAGTCGGATCGGAGGAGGCAGGGGGAGGGCGGGAGGGAGGAAGGAGGGAGGCAGGAGGGGGGGGGGGGATAGGGAGGGCCGGGAGGGCCGAGGCGGAGCAGGACCACTCCGAGACGGCTCAGGGGTGCTTCCTGAAGCCTCCAGGATGGCCCAGGCTTCCCCGCTGGCGGCCGAGAGGCAGCACACGACCAAGCCCCCTTCGCGTTCAGAGGAGAAGTACGGACCACCGCCACCGAGGCTCCATCGGCAGGGGACCGAACCCTGGACGGCGGCACGCCCGAGCGTCGCCCCCTGCCCCCCCGGGGTGACGCTCGCGTGCACCACCGCCCGGGGAGTCGGTCCCCCACCGATGGGTCCTCGGCGGCGGTGGCCCGCGTGCCCCCTCCGAGGCGCTCCTCCCCGATCTCTGCCCCCTGTGCCCGTGGTCGGGCCCCATGGGGCCGCGGACGGACAACACGTGTTGGAGGACGTCGGGGAGGGGGATCGGGAGATCGGGGGCAGAAGTGACCAGAGAAGCGCCCCTGGCCCGAAGTGCCCCCAAGACTTCCAAGGAGGCCCCCCCATGGCCTCCAACGCACCCCTTATCACGAAGCCGAGAGGGCCTCCGGTGCTCCTAAATTGTGCGAGAAAAGCAGGGGGCACCTTAAGGCGAGGGGCACCTTTCGCAGCCCCCGACGTCGGATCGGAATGTGCGACGGACCGGTCCCGCATCGCATCGGCTCGAAGAATCGAATCGGGTCGGTCGCGGCGGGATGCGCAACAGCACCGTGCGAACATCGGGCCGCATATGGGCCCTGCATCGGCTGATGGCATTGGTGCGCGAGATGTGCCGACATCTGATCACTGGCTCCCTCCCTGGGGGGAGGTCTGGGCATGAGGTGCGCGGAACCCGCCATTACTCTCTGCCGAGGCGGCTCGCGTAATTAGGGGATGCGGCTGGGAAGCGGGGTGTGCCGTGCGGGGGGTCCTCGTCGTCGTCGTCTTCTCTAAACGAGGGCGTCTAGGCCTTTTGGCAGCCTGTCGCCAGCAACTACAAAAAACCATCGGAGCGTCAGAGATATCGGGACCGAATCGGACCTGGCAAACGGGAATCGACATCGAATCGAGTCGATCGGACCAGAACGGAAACAGACACCAGGGGGCGCGGCTCACACGAGGGGTCGGGGCTCGAGGATCGAGGCCCGTCCTCCCTCGCTCCCTCCCTCGGCCCCTCATCCCTCCCTCCCTCCCTCCCCTTCCTCCTCCCTCCCGTATCCCTCCTTCCCTCTCTCCCTAATCCTCCAACTGGACCTTCTCCTCTTCCTCCTCCTCCTCCTCCTCCTCCTCCTCCTCCTCCTCCTCCTCCTCCTCCTCCTCCTCCTCCTCCTCTTCCTGATACCCTTGCTCCTCCTCCTCCTCGTCCTTTTCGCCCTTCTCCTCATTCTCCTCCTCCTCCTCCTCCTCCTCCTCCTCCTCCGCCTCCTCATCCCCCTCCGCATCCTGCAGCTCCTCCTGCCTGCAGCAGCAGCTGCTGCGACTCCTCCTCCTCCTCCTCCTCTCCTCCTCCTCCCTCCTCCTCCTCCTCCTCCTCCTCCTCCTCCTCCTCTCATCATCATCATCTCATCATCATCATCATCATCATCATCATCATCATCATCATCCCCCTCCGCATCCTGCAGCTCCTCCTGCCTGCAGCAGCAGCTGCTGCGACTCCTCCTCCTCCTCCTCCTCCTCCTCCTCCTCCTCCTCCTCCTCCTCCCCTCCTCCTCCTCAGCATCAGCAGCATCAGCACCACGATCACCACAACCACCATGACCATCACAATTACCATCGCAATACTAATAATAATAAAAATCATAATGATAATAATACTAATAAAAATAATAATGATAATACTAAAAAAATAATAATAATAATAATGATAAATTTAAAAATAATAATGATAATACTAATAACGATAATGATAATAAAAAAATAACAAAAAATAATAATAACAATACAAATAAAAAAAATCATCATCATCATCATCAGCAGCAGCAGCATCAGCATCACCATCATCATCATCATCATCATCAGGATCAACCTCATCATCATCATCATCATCATCATAAGCATCATAATCATTAGCAGCATCATCATCATCATCATCATCATCATCATCATCATCATCCTCATCATCATCATCATCATCATCAACAATCATCACCAAAATCACAAGCATCAACAACAACAACATCATCATCATCATCATCATCCTCGTCATCATCCGCCTCATCATCAGCATCATCATCATCATCATCAGCATCATCATCATCATCCTCATCATCATCAGCAGCACCATCATCATGATCATCATCATCATCCTCATTATCATCGTCATCATGATGATCATCATCATCCGCATCATCAAACTTAGCATCATCATCGGCATCATCAGCATCGTCAACAGCATCATCAGCAGCATCAGCATCCTCATCAGCAGCATCGGCATCAGTATCATCATCGGCATCAACATCATCACGAGCAGCACCATCATCATGAGCAGCATCGTCAGCATCACCACCATCAGCATCACAATCATCTGCTCCTCCGCCTCCTCCTCCTCATCATCATCATCATCATCATCACCACCGCCACCATCGTCATCATCATCATCAGCAGCAGCAGCATCAGCATCATCATCAGCAACATCAGCATCGTCATCATCATCACCGTCGTCGTCATCATCATCAGCATCACCAACATCAGCATCGCCATCATCAGCCTCACAGACACAACCATCACCAACATCACGATCATGTTCTGCATCGTCTCCATCCGCAACAGCATCATCGTCATCAGCACAATCAGCATCAGCATCATCATCAGCACCGTCACCATCATCGAAGCATTGTCATAGTCATCATCATCAGCATCATCAACTCATCATCATCATCATCATCATCATCAACAGCATCATCATCATCATCATCATCATCATCATCATCATCATCATCATCATCATCGTCATCGTCATCGTCATCGTCATCGTCATCATCATCATCACCAGCATCGTCATTGTCATCATCATAATCGCCACCATCATCATCCCCGTTCGCATCCTCAGTCTCATCCTCGTCCCCATCATCAACGTCATCCTCATCCTCATTATCATCATCATCAGCAGCATCATCATCAGCAGCAGCATCGTCAGCATCGCCAGCATCAACAACAAAAAATCATCATCATCAGCATCATCATCAGCATCATCATCATCATCATCATCATCATCATCATCATCATCCTTGCCCACATCCTCATCCTCATCATCACCATGACCACCACCATCACAAGCATAATCATCATCGTCAGCATCAGCATTATCATCATCAGCATCAGCCTCATGGGCATTAGCATCCCCAGCCTGATCATCAAAATAATCATCACCAGCATCATTGCCATCATCGTCATCACCATCTACATCACACTCGTCATCATCACCATCACCACCACCGTCAATAGCATCATCACCAACATCATCCACACCACCATCATAATCATCATCATCATACTCGTAACCGTCATCGTCAGCATCATGATAATGAGCAGCAGCATCGGCATAACCATCATCACCTTCACCATCAGCATCAACAGCATCATCATCCTCATCATCCTCAGCATCCTTTTCATCAGCATTATCATCCACATCATCCTCATCATCTGCATCATCCTGATCCTCATCCACCCTGATCATCATCATCACCACCATCATCATCATCAGCATCCGCATCATCATCATCCTCATTATCCTCATTACCCTCATCATCCTCATCATCCTCATCATCATCGTCGCCCTTCTCCTCTTCCACCGCCTTCCTCATCCTACAGCTTCTCCTGCAGCAGCTGCTGCGACTCTTCCTCCTCACCCTCCTCCTCCTCAGCAGCAAAAGCAGCAGCAGCATCAAAATCCTCGTCATCCGCATCCGCACCAGCATCAGCAGCATCAGCACCACCACCAACACTGCCACCATCACAATCACCGGCACCATCACCATCGTCATCATCATCATCATCATCATCATCATCATCAGCATCATCAGAATCATCATCCTCCTCAGCATCATCATCCTAACCATCCTCATCATCCTCAGTATCCTCGTCATCCTCATCATCAGCATCCTCATCATCATCGTCATCATCATCCACATCCGCATCATCATCAGTATCATCATGATCAGCATCATCATCATCGTCAGCAGCAGCATCATCATGAGAGTCATCATCAGCACCAATATCCTGAACTTCAGCATCATCATCATCAGCACCATCTTCATCACCATTACCATCGTCATCGTCATCGTCGGCATCCTCATCATAATCCCCACCTCATCATCATCATCATCATCATCATCATCATCATCATCATCAACAACATCATCATCATCATCAGCAGCATCAGTATCATCATGATCATCCCAAGTATCGTCATCATCGTCAGCATCAACATCAGGATCATCATCATCCTCAGCATCATCATCATGATCATCAGCATCATCATCGTCATCAACAACATCATCATCATCATCATCGTCAGCATCGCCATCATGATCATAATCAGCAACATCTGCAGCATCGTCATCGCTGTCATACTCATCATCAGCAGCATCATCATCAGCAGCAGCATCATCACCATCAGCAGCATCATCATAACCATCAGCATCATCAGCATCATCGCCTTCTTCCTCATCATCATCCTAACCATCCTGATCATCCTCATCATCATCCTCATATGCGTCCTGATTATCACCAGTACCATCATCATCATCATCAGACTCGTCACCATCATCATCAAAATCGTCATCATCATCATCGCCAGCATCATCGTCATCAGCACCATCGTCATCGCCAGCATCATCGTCATCGTCATCGTCGACATCCTCATCCTCATCCCCATCCTCATCATCGTCATCATCCCAAGCATCGTCATCATAATCAT